CATGTTAAGTAAAATAAAAATATAATATTAGTTATTACTACTGGAAATTATAAAATTTCCGACCACCTGAAAGTGATCTTAAATCAAGTCAAAAGCCTTGTTCCGACCACTTTTGGTATCCGAAAAAACCTTTATTGTTATTTTCGACCACTTTTTGCTTTCAAATTGATTTAAGATCACTTTCAGGTGGTCGGAAATTCCATAATTTTCAGCAGTGTATTATTATTATTATTATTATTATTATTATTATTATTATTATTATTATTATTATTATTATTATTATTATTATTATTATTATTATTATTATTATTATATCTATCTATCTATCTATCTATCTAAAAAAAATTTCCTCTAAATGTGAAAACATTTATTGTATTCATATCATGGTTGCAGTAGGCGCTGGGCGCTAGTCGGGCGCCCGGGCAGCGCCTAGCGCCTAAGCGCACTAGTCGGCGCCTAGGCGGAATCTAGGCGGCGCTAGGCGGTCGCGAAAAAAACAGTAGCAGACTTGCAATTTGACAATTTTAATGAGGCTGTTTTCAACATTCAATCAAATAACACATCCAAATAAATGACATAATGACAATTCATAAGTCATAACATCAAAAGAATATTAAAAAAAAAAAAAAACTCAAATGAAATACTCAAATACTTCAATCATCCAAAGATTGAAAGTATCAAACTAGTCTACGAGTGTATATATGTCATATTATATGTATATGTCATATAAATGGACAAAATTAGCAAGGTCGAGTCGGTCGGGTTAACTCGACTAACTTGACAGAAATTGACGAGTTAACTCGGCGTAATCGGACGAGTTAGGCGCTAGGCGGCTGAATTAGGCGCTAGGCGGGCGCCTAGGCGGCTGGTCTCCTAGGCGGGAGCCTAGGGCGGAAATCGCCACGGCCTATAGGCGCCTAGTGCCTAGGCGCCGATTACTCGGTGCCTAGGCGGGATTTTTACAACCTTGATTCATATTAATTTATAAATAAATTCATGTAATTTTCAAAAAATTTTCCTCTATTCCTAAAATTTTCCTCTAAATGTGAAAACATTTATTGCATTCATATTAATTTATAAATAAATTCATGTAATTCTCAAAAAATTTCACTCCAAATGTGAAAACATTTATTATATTCATATTAATTAATAAATAGATTTATGCAATTCATGTAATTTAACATGTTGAGTAAAAGAAGAATATAATATTAGTTACTATTATATATATATATATATATATATATATATATATATATATATATATATATATATATATTATAGTAATAATAATTCACACATAGAACAAATTTTTCACATACAAAAACGCGGAATCATGTATCCTATTAGCCTTAACGAATTATTATTACTATAATTATTATTTACTATAATTTACTATAATAATAATAATAATAATAATAATAATAATAATAATAATAATAATAATAATAATAATAATAATAATAATAATAATAAGAATAAGAATAATAATAATAATAATAATAATAATAATAATAATAATAAGAAGAAGAATAATAATAATAATAATAATAATAATAATAATAATAATAATAATACTATACTATACTATAATAACGAATTAGCCAATTTATAAATAAATTCATGTAATTTAACATGTTGAGTAAAATAAGAAATATAATATTGGTTACTATTATTATTATTATTATTATTATTATTATTATTATTATTATTATTATTATTATTATAGTAATAATAATTCGTGGTATCTAATAACACAATACTTTATAATATATAATATATGTTAATAGTAAGTGATAATGTTCAATATAAAAACCAATTTAGTATTGCTAAAGAAAAATAAATTTCTAAATAAATTTTCATCATTAATGTTTGATTTTATCATTTTTTAAAAGAATTAATACCCAGTATAATCATCGACTATATCGATTTTACTCAATTTAGTCCTAAATAACTTTTTGTACTCAATTTAGTCATCGACTTTAATAATTTTACACAATTTAGTCATTTGTTAAAAGTTCTGTTAGTTATCTGTTAGTTAACTGTTAGAAATAGAGTCCTAATGGAAATTTATCATCCTTCATCCCATTTAGGATGGTTCATTCTTCTTCCCCTTATTAAGATCCACGCATAAATGCAAATCTTTGAGGACTATATTAGGTATTAACTATTAACTCTCTTAAAAAATATTATCAACAATAAAGTTACTTAAATTTTATGACGTGCATCGCACGAGGACAAATATATTATTCCCACTTGGTTTTTCTGACTTATCTTAAAATAAACAGCCATTTTTACAACATATTTCCCGCGCATCGCACGTGGCAAATACTAGTATAATAATAATAATAATAATAATAATAATAATAATAATAATAATAATAATAATAATAATAATAACAATAACAATAACAATAACAATAACAATAACAATAACAATAACAATAACAATAACAATAACAATAACAATAATGTTATTACCTTAAATAGCCTCCCCGTCATTTCCTTCTCCACATTGGTAGGGGCGTAGGGCTTCGGTTATTACCTTAAATAGCCTCCCCGTCATTTCCTTCTCCACATTGGTAGGGGCGTAGGGCTTCTCAGGCTCATCTCTTTGCTTTCTTTTCCTATGAATTTTCTACCTTTTTCTAACTTTGCCTTTTTCTATAGAGGGTGGGAATGTGATGGTGAGGAAAGAGAAAAAGAAAATGGAAATATTTTTTTTTAACCAGAAGTTTCTATGTTTTCTTATACAAATTTATAATTGTAAATTTATATTAATAAATAATTATTAAGACAAGTTTAATTTATTTTATATTGGGGACACATTATTTTTAATAAATTTAATTTAATAATATTATACCTTAATTATTAAAATTTCACCTAATAATTTTAGTATTAAATGTCATACAATAATTACCATAAACAAAGTTTAATAATTGACAAAATTTATTAGGCAATAAAAATTCCACCTAATATGTACACATTATTTTTAATTATTTCGGTTTAATAATATTATATCTTATTTATAAAAATTCAAAATAATACTTTTAGTACTATTAAATTTTGATTGACTAAAAATTATCTTAATTATTAAGACAATTAATAGGTATAAATTAGTTTTAAAATATATGAATTATACATAGTAACATGGACCAGGACTATGTGGTTTAATGGTACCCGGGTTAGACTTTCATTTGGAATGTTGTAAGTTCGAGCCTCAGTGGAGGTGTTATTAGTTCTTTGTGTTTCTTCTGTATATGAACAGATACTACAATGTAATAGAGCTAGTAGCAGCATTCAAAAAATACATAGTAACATGGAAACAATTATATTAGGTAATTATTTTTTTAAAATATATACACAGATTATGCCTAACAAAATAGAATTATATATATATATATATATATATATATATATATATATATATATATATATATATATATATATATATACACTTAATGTATAATATTATTAGTAGAAAATCAATTATACTTACCTTAATAATTAATTATTAATATTATTCTCTAATAATTATGTATTATCATCTTTTTTGGTGTAATTATTATTGTAATTTATATACATACATATTTTTATACTTAATATATAATATCATTGGCACAAAATAAATTATACTTATCTTAATACTAATTAAGACACGCGCTTTGCGCGATTAGACAAATGCCCAATATGTATTTATAAATTAGTGTTCCTTAATTAGTTAAAGTATTCATATAATAATAAGAGAAAGAAAAATGCGAAATGAATAAAAGATAAAGAAATAATCGTGGTACTTATATATTTTAATAACAAATAAAGAAATTCGAAATAGTATTAATTAAGATGGCAATATTGTAATTAAGACATTAATATTGTAACTCGAAATTAGGAATCTATTAAGATTTGTATTTTTTATTCTAATTATAAATTATAAATTACAATTGTATAAAGATGGTAGTAATGTTTCATGACAAGTATATATATATATATATTTGATATAGTGAAGACCGCATAATTAGTAAATAAGAATTGCTTTTTTATTTGTCTAATCAATAACTAATATGGTGTGTACAGTGGTGATTGAATATGTTGGGTGCTTAATATAATCAACTGTGCTTCAGACATTAAAAATGTATGCCTCAGTTCTCTCATTAGTATCACCTTTCAAATTTAGATGTGGCTCAATTCCAGATTCTAAACCTACCAAAACAAACAAACAACCACACAATAGCTTAATATAATTCTGCACTTGCTAATCAACACACCCACACAATAAATAAGAGCCTTGAAATGCAGATATAATGCAGAGAACATGGTAAGCTACGTCATATATTTTGCGAACAACCAGCGGAAAAATCTAGAATCAGGGAATCGACTCACCAACCCATTGGCATAAAGACTATGCAAACCATCTATATAAAAAGGAAGTACTAACTCCTCAAAGCCTAAACCTCATAGAGCAATAACTCATGAATCAAGAAGAATCATCATTATACAAACATGACTTGCTGGAGAAGCAGTTAAGGGGCCAAGTGGGATTATGTACAGAAACTATATAAAGTGGTTGATTCTCCAAACTAACTGAAAAGCTTAACAACCAAAGTGGTGCTAAACCTCTTGCAATAAAAGGTCAAATCCAACTTTGAAGCACACGATTCAAGCAACACAAATGGTAGGGATTTATAGACTCATATCTTTGATATTTAAGAGGCTGTTTACAGGCCACAAACTATGACATAAGGCCAGCAGGCGAGAACTTCACCAATGCTAACTTGCAAAGTCTAACACAAAGCACAAGGCTCCAACATCATGTAGGTCTATGGAAGGATGATGATGCATGCAATATTACCCCCATATAGAGGCTGTTTCCCTTGCTTAAAACCATGGCCTAACAGGAAATGAGTGAGCACTTGACCAGCATACCAAACCCAATATTCATTGCTAAACAAGTTATTATTGAAAATTCAATAAGGTTACCACTCATCAAGCACTATGTTCAGAGCTGAAAAAAAGTTCCTTAAATTAGTATTTTAACATCAAAGAAACATTTAATAATTGACTGAGATACAAAAATGATACACAATACAACACTTACATGTTCAGCATACTTTCTTTTGTAAGTATCAACATGCCTAGAAGATGACAGAAACATGAGAATTACTATTTCAAAAAAGAAAATACTTCAGACTTTGTGATGTCGCTCTTAGAGAGAGGTGAATGGTGGATACTTTGGTCATTATTACAATGTACTTCAAGATTTTTCCATCTATCATATGAAACATGAAGTGTCTCCCTGTGCAAGGTTAATAACCAAAATAAATAAATAGTTAAATAAACAAACAAATTTATCACATAACCTTGCATTCAAAGTATCATGTCAGTCTTTCATTACTTAAGATAGTCTTGAGGGCTTATACTAAAGAGATGTTATACTAAAAATGTAAATCTCAGAGTCTGAAAGAAACAGCCATGGAAATGATCTGAAGGTCTCTTACAATGAAAAGAAAACTGCAGTTTTTGTAGCACTACAAACCAAGAAGTATACTGACTGACAGACAGACAGAACAGAATCCTCCATCACAGAATCAATCTTCAATGGATTGCACGGGTGAATCGCTAGTTTGGTTTGTGGAATTTTTTTCTAAAGTCCTTACTGCCCACATTAATAACCTGATAAAAAAGCCTATCTTAATGCCATGACCAATTTAAAATAAGCAGCCGAAAACTATGCTAGCATCTAAGCAGTTGACAAAAACCCTTGACGCAGCAAAATCCAAGAGTATGTCTCAACATATGGAAATTCATAGTTTCAGCTAAAAATGGATCAAAATTCACCTAAAAGTCTATACATTTAGCAGCTATACACACATCCTAATTTTTTTTTTTTAGGAGTTAACTCTTTTATTTTTAGTATGGAAAAGAATGTAGATGCATTTACTGTTTTTTACTTTAATATGTATGTGCAGATTTTGGGGCTTGAAGTCTGTGCTGATATTTTGGTTGGAGATGAAATGATTAGAGGGATTTCCGGGGGACAAAGTTAACATACAATTTTCCCTAAGTAGTATTCCGGTTTCTACTTGTTTTCACTCTACAAATCTGAAGATAGAAGACTGCAGGGATAAGCTTATCCAGCTGAGTTCATCATAATTGATAAACTTAATTTAAAGCTTCTGAAAACTACAAAAATTCAAATCAAATTAGGCCGGTGAAATTTCATGGTGAGCCATCTTCTGGATCAAAATTCACCTAAAATTTTTTACATTTTGCAGTTATACACGCAAGATTTGAATCCTTTAAATCAATCCTAAATTAGGCTGAAGTATCAGTGCAATTTCCTCATTACTGCTGGTAATAGTGATTAATAACGCTCAGATTTTACAAAACCAACCAAATAGACTGGCACAACCTGAATGCCAATTAATTTAAGTCCTAAACTTTGACCACATGAATAAGACTTACAATTTCATCTTCATTTGCATCTAAGAAACATATACGGCTTAACAGACAAGAGATAAATTAGGGCAGTGAAATGAATTACCAGAGTGAAGATGGAAGCTAATCGGAGGAAGGAGCAGAGAGAGTCTCCATGAGCTCCTTGTCCCGCCTTTCCATAGCTACATCCCACACGTCATTTTGTTTTCAAATAAGAAATTGAGGAATTGAGAACCTTACTCAACTCATCTGATCCCAAGGCATACCATCCTCAGAAGATGCAACAACTTGCTAATTTTTAAGCACTGTAATTAGCAAAATACAAAGAACTGTAATTAGCACATGAGTAATTACTTGTACCATTTAAAAAGAAAAGCCGTACTGCACTGTTTTATCTTCTGCATTTTCATTAAAGGACCAAAGTGATGGCGATGAGGGTAGGGAGTTTGAAAGAGGAATATGCATATGGAGAGGCAAAAGAAAGAAGGAACACACAAGTGAGAGTAGAGTGAGGTGAAGTCAAATCACTCTGCACAAACTTAAAACCCTCATCGAATCAGCCAAAAGAAAACGCAGCAGCAAATCCGGTAAACAAGATGCAGACGCCAAACTGCCGCTGGTTGAACTGCCGCCGCCGGAAGAGAATTCTTTTGCCGCCAAAGGAATTCTGCTCGCCGATCGGACTTCGAACGGAGATCGCTCCTTCGTTTATCGCCTCCAGAAGTGGTCCGGAGTAGTTGATGTTCGAACTGCTACCGCCGGATTTGCCTTCTCCGAACTGCTGCCCTAATTTCCGCCGGATTGTCGCCGCTCGTAATTGCCTCTCAATTTCACGTAAACTTCAAATTTGCCACCGCGCAGCTTTGTTTGACAGAGACGTTAAGTTTGACGGTACAAATTTGGTAAAATTAAGAAGGATTAGGTTATATTAGGATGAATTAATTTCACTTTTGGTCCCACAACTTTTGATGTTCTATCACTTTTGGTGCACAACTTTAAATTTTTTTAATTTTGGTGCATAACTTTGTTATTTTTATCAATTTTGGTCCTTTCGGCCAAATTGACAGCTAAATGTTGCTGGATTTTATATTGTTAGGGGTAAAATCGTCATCCCAAGGAAACATCTTCAGTATCTAAACAAAATCACCGTAAAATCATATCTATAGGTGTTTGATGATGAGAATAATGGGGAAGATGGGCAGAAACCAGACAGATCTATGAGATTTATAGTTTCGACCATTGGAAAACTCTTCTTTTCCTCTTAATATGATTTTTCTTTTGTTTAAATATTGAAGATCTTTCCATGTGATGACGGTTTTGCCCCTAAAATATAAAATTCGGAAATATTTTACCGTCAATTTGGCTGGAAGGACCAAAACTGATAAAAATAACAAAGTTAGGCACCAATATTGAAAAAATTTAAAGTTGTGCACCAAAAGTGATAAGAACTCAAAAGTCGTGGGACCAAAAGTGAAATTAATTCTATTAGGATTTGCAGTTGGCATTGTACTATTATAAAAGTTCAAAGTAAAATTCTGTAAAGGGTACTATTATTAGGTACCGACATTTTTTTTTTATTCCCGTTAAGGGTCTAACAATATTCGATCTTATTAAAATTGTAGATATAATTAATTTTTAATTTAATTTCCTAATTTTTATTAAAGGTAATTATTTTCATAATTTTTCTTTCTTTCTTTTGTGTAATTATTATGGTAATTTTATGTAATGTATTTAAATATTGGAAAAGAACAAATATTATAATTAATATAATTACTAAAATTATTATTATAATTTCTATAATATTTGGTAATTATAATTAATATAATTAATAAAATTGAGAAATATAAGATTTCTTCCGCATAAATATTTGTGACAATTTCATTAAATTATAATTAATAAAATATAAAATATGAAATATAATTAAATAAATAAAATTATAAAATTAACAAAACATGAATATTTATATATTTTTTAAATATACGTACATATACTTATGCACTATAATAATCATATAAAATTTAAATGATACTTTTTAAATTTCTAAACATAATTTTTAATTATAAATCTATCAATATAAATTATAGTTAATGAAATTATATTATAGAATTTTCCTATATACATATTAATAAATATTATGTGTATATACAATGTATTATAAATCATATAAGAAAATGTGTCCGATTAAAGTTTAAATTTATTAATACAAAATTTAGAATTTTTATTTTTTTATTGATTTCTAAGTACAATTCTCTTAGTTATTATTTTCATATTTTTAGAATTATAATATATATGAAATACAATTTGGAATAAATCAACTTAATTGTATGAATTTTTTAAATAATTCATATATGTGAACCAATGATTTCAAAATGAAATTAATATACAGTTACAAATAAATATAGCATGATTAGATTTACTTTAATTAGTTTTATTTTCTTAATGAAATGACTTTTCTTTATCAGTTTTTGATAGGAGACTAAGGGAGTATTTGGATTGCTGAAAAATATTTTAAAATAAAAATACATACTAATAAAAAATAATTTAAAAATATTTTTTTACACCTCATAACATGTGTAAATCTTATATTTTTAAAAAATACAATTTGATAAATATTATAATTTCTGTTTATAATAATTAAAAAAATAAATAATTCAAATATGTGAACCAATAATTTTAAAATGAAATTAATATACAGTTACAAATAAATATAGCATGATTAGATTTACTTTAATTAGTTTTAATTTTCTTAATGAAATGACTTTTCTTTATCAGTTTTTTATTAGAGACTAAAGGAGTGTTTTGGTTGCTGGAAGATATTTTAAAAATAAAAATACTTACTAATAAAAAATAATTTTAAAATATTTTTAATCCATAAAAATGAGAAAATTTTATATTTAAAAAAAATACAATTTCATAAATATCACAAATTAATTATTGCAATATCATTTATGTTTACAATGAGAACAATTAAAGAAAAAATAAATAATTTAAATATGTGAACCGAAGATTTCAAAATGAAATTAATATACAGTTACAAATAAATATAGCATGATTAGATTTACTTTAATTAGTTTTAATTTCCTTAGTGAAATGACTTTTCATTATTAGTTTTGTATGCGAGACTAAGTGAGTGTTTAGTTTGTTGGAAAATATTTTAAAAATAAAAATAATTTTAAAATTTAGTTAACCCCTAAACTTGCAAAAATTTTATATTTCAAAAAAGATACAATTTGATAAATATCATAAATTAATTATTGCAATATCATTTATGTTTACAATGAGAATAATTAAAGAAAAAATAAATAATTGAAATATGTGAACAAATGATTTCAAAATGAAATTAATCTATCTATAATATTAATAAAAGTAAAATCCTCCTTTACAACATTCTAGCCCAAATTAATATGAATATTAATTAGGTAGTTTTTAAAAAATTAATAAATGTTAATCGGTAACAAAATTTTATATGAAAATTAACTAATAAGTAATATCTAATGAATTGTTACCACAGATTAAAGTCAATATGTACATAAAAATAGAAAATGGTTACCAAATTCTGAGAATAATTAAATTATTATAATTGTGAAAATAATTGACATAAATTCTGCGTAATAAATGGGAAAATTTGTTTGAAATTCTATGTAATTTTATAAAGAAATAATAATTTATTAATTATTATTTACGCTAATTTATGCCATTAATAGAAGTAAAATCCTCCTCTTTCAAATTCCCGTCCAAATTAATATGAATATTAATTAATTGGTAAAAAATTAAATAAATCTTAATTGGTAACAAAATTTTATATGAAAACTAACTAATATCAAATAATTTTTTATCACAAATTAAAGTTAATATGTTCTTAAAAATGGAAAATGGTTATCAAATTCTTAGAATAATTAAGCCATTATAATTGTGAGAATAACGGAAACAAATTCTGTGTAATAAATGGAAAAATCCATTTGAAATTCTATGCAATTTTATAAGGAAATAATAATTTATTAATTATTATTTACACCAATCTATATCTATACTATTAATAAAAGTAAAATCTTCAATTAAAATGTCTTTCACCCTTTTGATATGAGATTTCCCGTCAAGTTCTAACGAAAACAATTCAGGTTGATGCTAGCATATGTCATGACTATTAACAAAAGTCAGGGTCAAACACTAACTCGCGTTGAGTTATTACTGAAAAAAATTAATCTTTAATCATGGTTAATTGTATGTGGCTTTTTTCCCGAGTCACCCAGGCCATCCTGTGGTCTGATGGTTTTAACTCTAGACGATGATGGATGGGTGACATTATATCAAGCCAGTGATATTATGTTTTTTTTTTTTTAATACAAAGATGACAAAATTATATTGCTATATATATATATATATATATATATATATATATATATATATATATATATATATATATATATATATATATATATATATATATATCTACATAGAAAATATATCTTCCGTATAAATAATTTCTATAACTGAGTTGCTAGACAACGAGCTAATTAGCTCAATTAATACAAATCTAAAATCCCAAGTTACAGCACCGAATGCGTATATCTACACACGTTAGCTATTAATTGGACAATTATTTGCTCGAATTCAAGCACGAATTCAAGCAATGATAACATCAGAAAACATAATCGGTGCAACTCAATTATATTATATAATATTTGATGTTATAATTTATAATTTTTTTTGAAAGTTACTGGCTCTATTACATTGTAGTATCTGTCCATATACTTTCTCAACCTACTGAAACACAAAGAACCAATAACGCCTCCACTGAGGCTCGAACTTATAATCTTCCAAATGAAAGTCCAACTCGGATACCATTGGACCACATAGTCCTGATGATGTTATAATTTATATAATTGTATATCAATCTAAATATTTTTAAAATGTTATAACAAATTCATCTCGTGCAACGCACGTGCGAAAATACTAGTGTAATGTAAACAAATTTTCCAATAATGCATCCAATGTTAAAAATAGCTTTGATTTATAATTTTCCAATAACGCATATGCAATGTTTAAAATAGGCATCAAAGATATGAAGTTACCCACACAACAAAGTAATAGGTCATTATTTTAATTTTGGGTTAATTTAAAAATCTAGAAAATTATTTATGGAAATCATTTTGTAGTTCAACGGAAAATACATTTTCTGGACAAAGGAAAAAATTTGTGTTTTGGCACAAAATATCTTTATAGATTTTTTAATCTAAATATGTTTCTCACATGTCTCTCATGCTTGGCTCTCTCTTTTCCCGGTATTTCAGGCTTAACTTGACTCTATTTTTCCTCATTCTACACGTTTCACTCCGTCTCCCTTTCTCTCTCACATTCAACTTTATCTCTCTCTCTCTCTCTCTCTCTCTCTCTCTCTCTCTCTCTCATGTTTCTCTTTATCCCTCTCTTAAGCACAACTCTCCCATACTCCAATCTTCTCAATCGTCACAGCTATCGCCTCACTCTTCATTGGAGTCAATTAAGTTCAAGTACGTACATATCATCTATTTTCTTTAGTTTCATTTATATATTCAAATTATTATTTTTTTGGATATGGATTTATTTGTTTGATTTTCTACCTTCGATTCTTTTTTTTGTTTTGAGTATTTTTAAAGTTTCAAGCATTTGATTCTATACACATAAATCGAAGAAATTGAATTTCTTCAGCTCAGATTAGAGCTACAAAATCTAACTCTCAGACACTTTGTACGCATTTAATTTAGATCACAACAATTTAGTACTCGTATACACAAAAACAGTATTACAACAAAACATATTAATTATAAACTATGACATTCTAAAAAAAAAGGTGCTACTTGACCA